TAAGCATTTGTCTGATGTTTTCTCGCTTGCTCCAGTCTTTTGTTCCCCACTTAATTGCCCTAGGCAATATCTGTCTCCTGACAATCTCCATCTACGTCAATGTGTACTCTATTTTAGTACTGTATATAAGCACCTCCTTCAGATAATATTGTCACTTTTTCGAGAATGACCCAATCCACAGTCTCTAACACCAGCTCTTAGTGGGGAGGAAAGGTGGGAGAGTGTGACCAGAGGTAAGTATTAATAATGGTTGGAGACGGCTTGAATGTGTAATGAAGAAAAACTTTAATATAATAGGTAAGTATTATTGGAAATACATTTTCGATGTAAGAAAATGTAAACTTCTAAAACATGGTTACCTCCACCTCCATACAGAACACGTCTGCATAGAAGACTAGCACCCTAATGGGGGAATCACACTACATCCAGAACAGGTATGCTCTTCCCCTGGAACCTAAATCAAGCACTGCAGGTGGAATTTGATGTGATATGTCATCACCATTGGCCAGGCCCCAACCAGGTAGCTGAGGTTCCACTGTTCGGGGTTGGAATTATAGGGCCATGGCCCTTAAATCCCACATTGGTGGCTATGGCATTTGCACCACGATAGATATATTTGTGATTGGATCCTAACCTACAGCTATAGAGTGATGTTTTCCGAGCCACTGCGATCATGATGAGAAGGTAAGCAACACTGAATTGGGCAAATCTCTCCTCAACCTGAAGAAGTCAAAAAGGCAACACCACAAACTCGGAATGATGGGATCCTGTATGCCATAATCAACCTGAGGAAATAACTCATCCAGTCTGGAATTATGAACAATCACTCATCCTCACTCCCCAACCATGTGGGTAAAGTAAATTCCACTTGACCCCTGAATTATGGGGAGGACATGGAACAAACTGTGCTCAACCATGGACCCAGGATGTTACCACTCTGTGTTCGGAATTACGAGGAAACAATGGACCTTCTTCCATGAACAATATACTGAACCATTATTGATAAAAAAAGAAGGGCCATGCTCAACCCAACTGAATAGCTGAGCATCTAATTCGAACCAGTATTACAAGTAGGCTCTTGTATAGGCTGGTGCCACTCCTACCAACATCTGGGAAACAATATCCAGGATTCTGGGTAGGAGGGCCCCAAATTTGCCTGTGACTGGAAACTGGGAATGGTAACGGCCCCACTAGTATAATATGGGGGGGGGGGGTAATGTGCATTGGGGAGCCCTGAGGAACAATGCTGCCATGGAAACAGTGCAATAGGTCAAACAAATTCCCTAGGTATTTTAAATAATACCAACCCTGATTTATGCAATCCACCGATTGCAGGAATGGGCAGAATCTCTTTATTATTTACTTATGATAGTCCATGTGTGGTGATCCAGCATAGTACAGTAATACCACCCCGTCTGCCTGTAGAAACACCTCATTTCTACAGAGTCTGTTGCAACCTAGATAAAATATATTGTGTTAGTGCTTGCTAGTGCAGATTTGGTTTGATAAAAGCACACCTGACTGGGTAACACTCACCACAGAGTGGGATCCTGTGAAAATCAGGTAAGGGACCCTAGAAGAAAAAAAAGAAGACGAGATTAGTAATGAAAATCCTCCTCCCTCTTTATAATCTAGTGGATAGCTACAGTGTAGTAAAAAACCCAGAGGAAGAAACTGCCAGATCATGCAAATGATGTAAATTAAAAAGGATTGGAGGGGAGTCCACATACCAGCCCACACAATGTCCTCCAGCAGGCAATTCAACCAGGCTGCTAAGGGCATAGAAATGAGACGAATCCAATGAGACGTGACTCGCAGAAGTCTCTTTGCCTTTAAAGAGAGCCCAGAATAAGCAATATGGATCAATTTCCGTACTCACCCATCAAGGTAAGTGGGGTAAATCCCGGAAAACTGAAGGGTCACAATAAATAAAATGCAGTTGTCTAGCATCTCTAAAAGCCTTAGTGTGTGCAACATAACACTTCAAGGCCATCACTGAACACAACAAACTATCAGGATCCGATTGGTTAAGAGGTGAGAAATAGCAGTCAGATGAATCAGTGAAAAGGATTTATCCCCTATCTTGGCTGCCAGTGTCTTAGGTAAGAAGGACCTGTCTCGGTATAAATGGACATAGGTAGAATGATAACAAGTCCTTTGCATATGCAGCACAAACAACTCCGACCAGTGACACCCGCAGGCCAGCAGTAACAAAAAATAAACCTTAAGGGAAAGGTGATACATGGTACATGAGGCTAAGGTCTCAAATGGATGTCGAGAAAGAGCATGTAACACCACCTTTATATCTCAGTTAGGTAACTGAAATGATCGTTTGGGATAAAGGACCCAAAGCAACTTGAGGAGGCCTGAGAATTTCCATCTTTTTGTGTATCAAAAGGTAACTGATTAGGCCACCTTATATAGGACGCTTGTGAAAGATGCAAAACCCTTATCAAAGAGCCAAGTAAAAACCAAACTATAGTTGGCACATCTTTATGAAGTGGGTTCAACCTCCTTGCAATACACTATTGTTGATATGTGTGCCACTTCCATTGATAAATGCCCATCATTGGACGATGCAGTGACTGAAATAAGTACGTGGCAACCTTAGAAGTTAAACTCCGACATTGTGCAAAGAACTGCATATCCTCCACACATGAAGCTTGAGCTTCAGGTTGGATGGACATAAGATGTCGGATCGTGGCTGCCTTAACAGAGATGGTCAAAGAGCAAGTGGAAGAGGTGGGCACTCCTAAAGGTACTGTGGAAGTAGAAACCATGGGTTAGCCTGCCAGTCAGGTGTTACCAACAGAACACGACCATGGGTTGAATAAATCATTGCTAGGACTCGGGGTAACAGACAAATAGGTGAGTAGGCATACAGATGCAATCCAGTCCAATCCTGACTGAATGCATCTATTGCCAATGCCCAAGGGTGAGGTCTCAGAGACCAACATGCCAGTAGTTGAGTGATCCAATGAGTAACAAATGCATCAATCATTGATGTCCCGACCAAGAACAAATCCAACAGAATACCCCCCAATAAAACATCCATTCTTTCAGGAGAATTCGGTAGGGTCGAGACAGTTGATCTGTCACCAAATTCATAACCCCTGGAACATGGTAAATTAGTAGGATGATATGTTGGGAATGAGCCCAATATATAAAATCCAAATTTCTAAAACAAACAGACCCCAGAGGCATATGGTAGTCATTGCTGCCACTGGTGGTATTCCATTCGAGCAGAGGAACCTCATGGATATGGGCAGAATCTGTTCGAGGGTACCAATGAACCGAGGGGCGGATGTCGAGACACTCAAATGAGAGTGCAAATATGATCTCCTGTAGGAGCCGAGAAAAGTCAAGAAGCCAACGACGACAGGGATATGTGCAGACAGGCGCCATCAACCCTTAAATCCAAAGGCTCTGAAATGCCCGCAAAAATCAAAGATATTATGACATCATTTTATAGGACAAAATTTTCAAGTCAATGCTTCAGTGCATACTCCAATACAGATTTAATGATGACTTGCTACAGTTGGCATGTATTTTCCAAACAGAAGCATTAGTTTATAGGAAAGTTAACCTTATCCAAAATTCAGTGTATTAAATATATGAACAAGTTATTACACAATCAACTTTACTTTTTACTAAATTAATGACAGTGATATTCTTATATTTTGCACATTATAGTTGTAATTTGCTCTATGGTTGGATTGGTTATTTTTTGATTGATGAAAATAATACCAAGCCCAGTCCACATAAAGATAACTAGTTAATATATTTCTTCAATAGTGTTCGTTACAGGCTATGTTGACTTTGACACAAGTTGTAGGCCGAAGTTCAGAAACAAACTTTTTGACTTACGCTTTGAGTTTGAAAATTATTGTAGCCTAATCTATATAAGTATAATAGTAATGTCTGTTGTATCTCCATGTAACTGCTTTGCAGGGTGTGGATGGATCTTCACCAAAATTGGTATGGACGTTCATTAGGTCCATACATACACATACACATGTTCAGTTTTGCAGTTTTTATGGACGTTTTTTACCACTACCTCACCTCCTGTGGATGGATATACACTAAATCTGGCATGAAGGTTTGTTGGATCCATGGGGAGATGGATATAAATTTTTATTTCATGGACCAATTTGACATGAAGGTTTGTTGGGTCTATGCAGAGATACATGCAAGTTTTTGGTTTCACATTTATGTTTTGCAGTTTTTTGGGGTATTTTTGCGTTTTTTACAATTACATATAAGGGAAGTAACTTTTCATGCCTAAGGTAACCTTTCATTAATCATAATATTACATAACTTCCGTCCAGGGGACGGGTACTCCAGCTAGTACATTAATAACTTTAACAGAAATTTCCTTGATTGAAAACTACTGCCCTACTAATTAGCTTACAAACGCATTAACTCTTACTGACTAACTTTAATAGACCATTCACAAACTGGATACTTCTTTGAATTATCAATACCTTCTTAATAAAAACTTCGCCGATTACTCATGTTTATAAATAACATATCCTTATCTAAACACCCTCTTCTTCTTCATCGGGATTCGGTACATGTTTTGGACCAGGGAGGGTCAAGTTCAGTGTTTACCTCTTCCTCCCTCTCAGGAATTGTTATTTTGTTTGCACTGTTACTGAATCCTAGGTAATAATCCTTGTTACATTGTTGCATTACCCACAGTATGTTAAATTTTGCCCATTGTCCACAGTTTAAATTAAAATACCCTTTTCGTGCCATGTCCAATTCATGGTATAATATTAACTCGTATATTCGATCTTAATGAAGGACCCTCTAGCTATCATCTAAATTAAAACATTGAAAATATAGCTTAAAACAGTATGTTTATCAAATAAAATAACTTCAAAATATTTTAATTTCATTCCACTGCTCTGCCTACAATGCTTGAACTGATGATATTTAATGCCAAAATTTAAATGCTTATTAAAGTTAACGTTTTGTATAACAGAAACGTATCTTACCGAGCCATATGAAAGAAAAAAAAGTTGTTCTTGAGTAAATCCTGTCAGGTTTGGTAACAATGTTTCCTGGTTGTTTTCCCCTACCCATCTTCTGTAGGCCTGAAACGTTAAGAGTTTAATAGGTTGTTGAATAGTTAAAGAAAACTTAATATATAATTTTTTCAAAGCTACGTATTCAAAGGAATAACTTAATGGCATCACTCAAAGATTAAATTAATTTTTTGATATAATATTTAGATAGGCATCAATTTATTCTACATTGTAGGAATCATAATAACATTTTCAACTTACCATCACAGTATATTGTTACTTAATATATTTTAACCCTAAAATCTGGAGTTGGTCGTACATACATAAATTGATGTTTTGGTCATATTAATCCCTCTGCAACAGCAAGTTATAAAAAAGTATTAACCGCCTTTCAACGATAATTTAGTATTAGAGCTTTTGAAGGAATACAACTTTTGTACTCCCCTCTTGCAAAGAAATTCTCATTTGAGAATGCTTTCTTCCCTCTGTTTGTGTGAAGATTTAGGTGAAGGTCGTTTGTCTCTTGAAAAGTAACTTTCCTACAGAGGACCTGTTTTAAGTGCCAAAATAGTCAATATACACTGTAAAATATCTTTAAGTTATGTTTGTGGTAGTCTCAATTGCGAGTACAAAGTTTGTAGATTTGATTTTTGAATTAAATGTAAAATTTGTGGCCGCAGCCATTATGGGGTTCCCATTGAAGTTGAAGCGATCAGAAAGAGGTCGTCCAAAAATTTTAGAATCCAATCAACAGACGACAAAAGTTGCGGAGCATAAGAAATGGTAAAAATAAGATACTATATTCTTCTCAATGTAACCAGTTTTATTGTCTTGGATCGTTCAGTGGTTGACAAATTTAGATATGATTGATCAGGCTTCAATCAACTAAAGTAATAATAAGTAGGCGAAGAACATTTAAAATTGTTTCTTCTAAGTGTACAATGTGTTCTAGATATCACAAAATTGTTAAAAATATTCTTATAGTGCAAATCAAGTTTAAGACGGAATAGCCCTGATCAGAAATAGCCTTGCTTTGGGAAGGCTTTTCATCAACACCACAACATTTTCAGAGTTCCATTGCATTTGTCAAAGCAAGAGCTCAGACCCTAAACGTATTCAAAATTTTTATATGAAATTGGTCTAGTAATCGATGTTCTTTTGTTTGAAGTTGCCACAGCAACACGGCAATTTCTGGACGATCGACTCACGATTTTAGGGTTATAAGTATGATACTGGTTTTCGGTATTAATTTTCATTCTATTTGGATTCGTCCTTTATATTTTATTCTTTTTGTCAAGATTTTGTCGAATTTTTTTCTAAAATGTTACCAGAGTAAATTTGTTACACTTACATCGACTGACGCCTACCTGATTTATTACATGTAATGATACATGTGTTAGTCTATTAAATATGCAGAAATGGTTTGAGGGCTGTCTATGGGGAATTTCTATATTAATTTTAAACTGTATAAACAAAGAAAGGACGTGCAGGTGCATCAATGAGAAATTTAATCAATATACTAGAGTAATATCAATGGTAATAATTCTCCTTACAGTAATATTTATACATTATGTTTTAGTGACTTCTGAAAAAACAAAGTGAGAGCACGCTATGGTATTTTTAGGTAAAACTGACTTCCACACAAGTACCAAATATATCTGCTAATAACAACAGGATCTACTAGGAAATGTATGGATTAATTCATATTCGAAAACTTGACTAAAATTCCTAGTGTGTGAAATGATGAGAATGGGCAAATTCTAAATAAAATAAAACAGTCTCTATTATATCTAAACAAAAAGAGAATGCAGCATATGTGCTTGTGCAGACAATAAGTCACTCGTTTTTACAGGAGCATTGAGTAGACTGCCAGCTCTCCATCTTTTAAGATGAATCTCTAGCGAACTAGTCATGATCAGACGAATAATTATTTAGACTTTAAAATAAATCTCATACTCTTTTTCTTGTGAGAGCATCACCATGTGAGTGTTTTTCTCTCACAGCATTTGCTGGCTGTAACATACAGACATCATCTACTCGGCCAGCAAAGTACATTACAGTCATTGACCCTTCTAACACTTAAGCAAAGTAGACCACAACATCTCCTCTAGCAGAGTAGATATTATCTTCTATACAGAACAAAGAAACAAAGCAATTAGAACAAGGCAACTTCAATACTTTTCTGGACCACTTATTTATGCTAAAACTGTAAAAAAAACTAGATAAATGAAAATTTTTAAATATTCCTATAGTAATAAAAGCAGGTAGAAAACATATGGTATGCCTACATATTATAACTGCACTAACTGTACACTTTTTGGAATAAAAGCAAATCTTCGGGGGGGGGGGGGATTAAAGAGTTTGAGTAATATTTTTATCCTTGGGCTAGTTCTTTTGGATTATTTGGTAAAAATAATGAGTTAATTTATTTCTTCATTAAACCTTTGCTACAGCTACATTCACATGTTGACCTAGTTTTAAATACAACAGAAACTCCAAAACTTATATAGACCCAAATTACCGAGCTTAGATCAATAAGCAAACACATAACTCACATATTTACTGAATATTAGAATAGGCGCGATAACTCACACTACTAACATTGAATAACTTTTCTGACACTGAGCTAATTTAATCAATAAATGATTACTCATATCCTACTCTTATTTCTACATAGTCAAAGAAGTTCCTCGATTCTTAATTTTCAAGATCTTGACGTCATCACATTAACGAGCACCATTTAGCAAATGTCTAAATAAAACATTGAAATATAGTTTACAACAAAATGATAATGGGTTATTTAGTTAATCAACGAAATCTACACAAAAATGTATAGTAAAATTATGATATTGCATTATTAAGAAAGACAAAAAACAAAATGTTAATTTGGGGTATTCGGTTTATGAGCATGACTTAATCTTGCTTATTATAAAACTAAAGATTTGACAAACAGATTTATATTTAAAAACGGTACAAATATACATACTTTTAAAGCTTGTCGTACACCACCATTATCAGCAATATTTTCAGCTAATGTGTTTGTTCCGTTGACCTAATTAATAACAACATAAATATTTATATTAGTAATAGAAACACAAAGCGTTTTACACATCATTAAAGAAGTTATATCATCCTACAATTTAATTAATTAAAAACAAACTTGTTTCTATTCTTGTATAATAATAATAAACATCAAAAGACTAAATTACAGTACTGAAGAAAGTTTTGTTCGTTTGTTTTGGAATTTCGCGCAAAGGTACACGAGGGCTATCTGTCCCTAATTTAGCAGTGTAACAAGGATATTCAAGTTATGGTTTGTAATGATTTCATTATTTCAGTTTTGGTGATCTCAGTTTTTATGGTATTTCTTGTCACTTCACCATGTACATTTTAATTTACTTATATGTTGTTTGTTTGTGTTTAGGTTTTATAGTAATCATGAAAAGGAAATGGCTACATGAATTGCAAAATTACTTGTTTTTTTGTATGTAGAATTGAAATTGCAATAATATAGAGCACAGTAAATGACAATATTCTATTGTGGTTTGCTATATCATTAATAATAAAGTGACAGATTTCGGTATAAGCTTATAAAAGTCTGCGGTAAAATAGAAAGTACAGTGTACAAACACAATGTAAATATTAATAAGAAAATAGCACAAAACTGTTAAGAGCTGTATTATATTTATGGAATATTTAAGTCCTTGTTAACTTACCATATAGTAACCTAAATTAACTTAGCATTAAGCTTAATCTATTATTTAGTATTATACAGTAGAACAACTGATTAGTGGTTATGTTACAGTTTTCTTTTAATTTCGTCAAAGGTAAAATTGAAAATCTGTGACTTGAGGCCTAATGCATTATTGACTGGCTGTGGACTCTGCTGTGGACTGCAATTTCCTCTATGCATACATTCTTTGTCCGTTGATGTCTATTAAAGGAAAATTATAAGTTTATATTTCTACCAGAAAATATTTTAAAAATAATTCATTGTAACTGGACTCTTGTAAATTTTAGCCAATGGATTTTTGGAGTTGAACAAATAAAAAAAGTCTATCAAATGTTTTCATAAATTTAACTGTGGGCCCACTTACTTTAAAGTTGCCCGGCATGGCCAGGTGGATAAGGCGCTCGACTTGCAATCTGAGGGTCGCGAGTTCGAATCCCCGTCCAACCAAACATGCTCGCCCTTTCAGCCATGGGGGCGTTATAATGTGACGGTCAATCCCACTATTCGTTGGTAAAAGAGTAGCCCAAGAGTTGGCGGTGGGTGGTGATGACTAGCTGCCTTCCCTCTAGTCATTCATGCACGCTAAAATATTTTCCCGTCACGAAGACAAAGTTTTGAAGGTGTCTGTATCCGAAACCTATGTTTTTCCTGCATGACGAGATTTTAAATGGTTTTTGGAAATTCTATGTGGTGTGGTCACTGATTTCTATACTAAACTGGATTGCGCGTTGTCTTGTATCACTATATAAGTCAAGCGGTAGATATACTGTTATCCCTAAATTGTCAAGTGTTTGTTTTGAATTTCGCGCATAGCTACACGAGGGTTATCTGCGCTAATCGTCCCTACGGAAGCCAGATAGTCATCACCACCCGTTACATTATAACGTCACCACGGCTAAAAGGTTCGAGCAAGTTTTATAGGACGGGGATTCGAACCCCAGACCCTCAGATTACGAATCGAGCATCCTAACCACCTGACTGTACCAGGCCTTGTCGATTGTAACGGCGATAATGGCATATCTTCCATTAAAATAAAACAATTGTATAACTTAATATTTTGTATCAGAATAAAACCTAATATCTTTTAATTTAATAAAACGCGTGAAATACTATTTAAGTTTTTTCTTCTTCTTTCATGTAAACCATTCTTTTTATGTCTCATTTTTTCACAAGAAAAATTACTGATGCTTTATACGTTTCTTTTTTTTTTTTAATTATGCACAAAGCTACACAAGGGCTATCTGTGCTCTGCCCACCACGGGTATCAAAACCCGGTTTCTAGCGTTGTAAGTCCGCAGACATACCGCTGTGCCACTGGGGGCTATATACGTTTCTAATCAGATCAAGGAGTGAGGTTTGTCAGAAAAAAAATATATACATATATATATATACAAATACATACATATATATCAGGTCTCTTCTGAAAGGAGCCACGTGTGGTCTGGTGGTTAGCGTCCTCAGATTTATAATCACAGTTCGCTACTTGTTGCCACTAAAACACGCTCCGTACTTTAGGACTTTTGTGTGCTAAAGACAAGTGTAACTCAATAGTTTGAGTTTGTGGTTACGTGCTGTTGATTAATTGCATTCCTTCTAGTCAGTCAGTTCAAAATTAGGAACGTCTGTACACAGATAGAATTCTATATAGGTTTGCGTGAAAACTCTGTAACAAACGAATCATTTTGAAAGAAACTCAATAAATTATTAAAATCAAAGTATTTTATTAATTTTCAAACAAGACGGTTCAAAACGACAATATTAGATATTAACTATAAACTAATATATATATATATACTTACATCATAAACGTAATATTCTATATAAATAACGAATATTAATATCAATGTCAGATTTTATGGAGCCGGATTCTTTACAGTAGGTGTCCGTGATTTGTTGGCGATAAATTCGAACAATAAACGGACAGCACACAATCCGCTTGTTTTAAAACAATATATTCAAAACAAGTCAAACGTATATACAAAAATTCTTTACACTGTAGGATATCACAGTTGTATCTAAAACTCTAAATACTTCTCTTTTTCTTGTCAAAAATCCACACAGGCTGGTTCAGTTACTTTAGAATCTAATTGACAAAACGAATTATTTTTCTTTACTCTGTTTCTTACGACACAATCTGCGATAAATTCGCTTATGTTACCCCGTGGGTAACCACAACTGTATCAAGAACTTTAAATAATTGTCTCCTTTTCGCCAAAGTCCACACAGACGGGTTCAATTACTTTAGACCCCCCAGTGGCACAGTGGTATGTCTGCGCACTTACAACGCTAGAATCCGGGTTTCGATACCCGTGGTGGATAGAGCACAGATAACTCATTGTGTAGCTTTGTGCTTAATTAAAACCAACCAACCAACCAATCAATTACTTTTGAACACCCTCTTCAAGACAAAGTATTCTCCTTATCTCTATTAAACTGTGAAATTCATTTTAAAATATCGCTTATTACGGTTAAATTAACAATCATGCAGTCTAACTTCACTTTCACTAGCTCAACTTGTACTTACTTAACTTGCGCTCACTTGGTCGCCGATATATTATACATTGCCCAACTGAGGCCTAAAACTTTCTACAAACTACGAGATGCTATGGTGTAACAATACTCACTTAAGGCAACGAGAAAACTACAGAAGGTTCGAGTATTGTGACGTTAATTCACAACAATTGAACTACATGCACAACGTGCGACTTTTACCGTGTTATCTAACGAAATTTGTCATAACTGTCGTCTTTAAAATAATTACTTATAACACTCTTGTCATGAAAACTAAATGATCATTAAATATTAAATCACTAAATAAACTAAATAATAACTCTTACACTAAACAGTCTTGTATATTCAACGATAAATATATATATATATATATTCTTATATAAGTTTCGTAAATATTATCAAAAGTTTTTGAAGGTTCTAGTTCTAATACTTGGAAGATATTATTAGAGAAATATAATATCTTTACTTTTCAATGACCTTTCTGTCACGCACAAAGACAGCATTTCATTTCCACCTTGTTTTTTTCAAGTTAAAGAACATTTTACAAACAACTTCGGCTGAAAGATTTGATTAATCTTATACAGTTTCAAGAAGTAGAACTTTGTTTCTTGGAAAGATAAAGCACGAATAATACGTTATGTTTCGCAATCCATGCTTCCTGAACGGAATTAAATTATGATTATAAGATTCAGTACAAATAAAAGCTATATTCAAAATGAAATATCATATACTGCATCTAAATGAACATGAGTGACTGAAATCAATAATTCTACGTTCCACAACGGGAAAAATAATGAATAACCGATATTGTGGAATAACATGTTACCTATTAAAGTGAGGGTGAAAAAAATTACCTTCTAGAATAGAGATAGTTTTGCTAAACAGGTATTGCTAACTAACATATAATCTAGTGAATAAATTAAAAGAGATTCAGAGCATAAACTTCTTTAGTTCCTTTAACTTCTGGTAATTATTACAATATTGAAATAAATATAATTAGTTAACACTTTATTGTAGAAAGAAACTTGATTTATTCGTAATATTACCTTTTTATTTCATATAATTATTTTCCATGTTGTATCACCACAAGTAACATTTGTTACTATCTCTTTCTTTTATGTAACTTACGTAAATTTGTTGTATAGCTGTTGCTATGGTGTTAAAAACTAAAAGAAACAGCCCAGAAGGTCCAGAACATTACGGTGATTATTCATAGTTTTAGCTAACCTTAAGATAACATATAAATGTTTGGATTGCTGTTAAGAAATTTAATTATAGAGTTGGACGTAAATCACCCAGAAAACCCGATACAGGAAACATATTGCACAACTGTTTGATAGTATAACTTCGATTAACTTTTTGACTCGCAACTCTAGTGCGTTATCAACTTTCTGTTTTTGTTTTTAACTGGTATTAAGGAAACGATGCACCCATTACCTCATTTCTTATATTGCTTGCTCGTGCTATGATAAGCTGTTTGGTTTTGAAACACGAAGCATTTGAGATTATTTTTCCCATTGATTAAAACAAAAGTTACACTATCATAAATTTTGAACGAAAAAAGTTTGCTAGAAATGTTATCATTCTCGTAACGTTCAGAGTTTAAAGTAAAAATAAATAAAACCAAGAGAAAACGGGCTTTCATTTAAGGAAGTAAGCTTTTCATTCTCGTCACGTAAGCTTAATAGCTTGAAATACTTTCTTCATACAAGGCTTAGAGTTAGAGAAATATTTATCTCTAACTTTATACTAATTTATTAACTTAAATTTTTACAGAGATCCACAGTGTATAAAAGTTAAGTATTTGA